CCCAAAAAATATACGTATTTTGGAAATGTTGAGTCGAATTAGTCTAGGAATCGATTAATTTTATGGAAGAAAAACTTTCAAACAGCCGTAGTCCGTAAACTTCACACATGTCGGGCTGTGATTGGCAAGGTTTCCTAAAACATCAATTTTATAAAAAACGGAACGTATCTACCGTGTTATAGGGGGTCGACTGTATTTTTTAAAAATTAAAATAAGTGTAATCTAGGTACGCTATTCCGTCACAGTTGGTTGAATCATGTGTTGAGAGTTTGAGAGGAATAAATTAAATGTTGAGAATGACATGAGGTTGGCGTTAACAAAAACTCACCCGCGAATTTTAAGGCTGGTTAATAACATACAATTTCAACAATCGCATTAAATTATTAGACATAATTTAAAATAAAATTATACTAAAAAACTAATTTCGGTTTTTTTTAATTACCTTATTAAAAATGTCTTTTTCAATAGTATCGGGGTCGCGGGTCACTTGGCTTTTATAAAAAGGGGTCGCCACCCGAAAAAGGTTGGGAACCGTTGTTATAAGGGATATCTTATAAATTATTTTCGTTATAATTTACATCGCATTACATTGTGTCCTAGATCATTACTTGGTTATATTTTAGCATTACGATAGAAAATATGTTGAATACTTGTGTTTAGGTTCAGTATTGTTCACACTTCACTTTGTATTATTGTAATAGAGAAATCACTCAACTCCGTCTTAATAGCTGAAAATCTAAAACCATTTATCAGGTATTTAATGATATCTAAAATTGAAAATTACTCGTTTAAATGGTAATATTTAACGAGTTGAAATCGTTAATTAGTTATTAATTATTTTAAAATATGCAAAATGTGAAGAAAAAATAAAATATGTGGGCGGAAAATGAAAGAAAGAATACAATTAAGGATTTTGCCTAGAGTTTTAATCATTTCATCTATTCTTATTGATATTCTAATAAAAAAATTTTAAAAATTATATATATATTTTGTTAAGAGATGTCTCATGTCGAATCTCTGAATCAGATCTATGGCATAAATTTCACGCGTGTTTATCCGCGTTACGCAAGTAGATAAACTGGTGTCAGGACCCTGACATAAGGAAGAAGGTGAATTTGCCATCACCAACTTCCGCTTAAAATATTAACTGTAAGACCCTCCACACTTGTTTCCCTAAGTTTTGGGAAAGGCCGTTCTTGTAGACGACCGAGACTAATTTCATGAACTAGTGCCGATTAAGTGGTGCTAATTATTCCAGCGGATNATATATATATTTATTTAATTATTTATATATCGCCATCTTCTATTATTTACCTTAACAATTTGTTTATCTCAAAAGAATTCAAAATCTCGATGACTATATAAGAACAAAAAATAAATAACTTCTTTAAATTGCTAAATATTCAGCTCTGAGTTAAATATTTTTAATACAAGACCAGAATATTTTACAAGAACAATACAAGACAAGACGATAATTACAATACAAGAACAGAGCAAAAGAATGATAACTTTATATAGTAATTATTTCTACTGATAAATTACAAAATAAACAGCAAATTTTAAACAAATCAATATACATGTTAAAAGTTGAAGGAAGACAGATTAAAATATGAAGATAACGAATGATTTTGAAAAAAAAGCAGAAATATGAAAAATTATATGATAAATTGTAAGGAAAGCATATAAGGAAGCATTGTGGAAAGCATATAAGGAAACGTTAAAAAGATATCTGGAAAGCTTAAGATGTAGAGATCAACACAGAAAAACTTATCTACCACATAAAATATAAATAATGGTGATAATGATGAGGAGTGATCGGTCATACCTGGTTTGTGTTGTTAACTTTTCTACTCTAGTCTGTATGTTTAAATTCTTGTTCGTTTCATGTTCTTGATTACTCGTGATATGCACAGAAGCTCCAGGCGTTTCGTTCTTCAAGCTATTGTTTAACAATTCTTAATAGCTGCAGCTGCGCTTAAGACCTTTTCAAAAACAAGGTTAACGACCATAATCCCCAGATGAGCACTGATGTAAGAAAGGGAAAAAGGCAATGTTGATGAAAACATAAATTTAAACGTATTACGGCTTTCCTAACATGAAAACACTTACAGAATTTCAATATAGAAAAAATCCTGAAGTATTTTCTATCCAAAATTTTGTTAAAAGAAGTGTAATTATTAAAAATAAGACTTAAAACTGATAATCTCAAGTAAAATATTAATTTATCTTGAAAAAACTCTCTAGATTTTTAAAATGCGTCACTTTTTATAATCAAAAATGTTTTAAAATTCATAAAATTAAATAATAATTATTAAAAAAACATTCTAAATACGAATTAAACCAAAAAAATAACTTACTCTTTAATTAAAGTTTCATCTGAAACGAATTATTTCATCGCAAGACTTCAAAATTTTTCAATTTAATTATTAAGAACTTTATTAGAAAATATGAAAACTTTTCTAATTATTAAGATTCGTATATTTGCGATTATAATTAAATACTGATATATTTACGTCAATCGTAATTAAACTCATTTGGAATTAATTGTATTAAATTCGTTAAAGGAGTTGCGTCAAGAATATTCCTAAAATGAAAAATAACTTTTTGAAAATAATATTTAAAACCCTGATAAATGAATATTTTACATGAGATTAATCACTACAAGAATTTTATATGACGTTGAATTAAAAATATAGATTTTTATCGACGTGAGAAGAACTCCATTTATCAAAATTATAATTTTAAACAAGTAGATGCAGATAATTGCTTGAAAGCAATTCTAAATGTTGTTGAATTTTTAAAAAATAAGAAAGCATTTCTGAATCTAATTTGATTATTCACTTTTAAAATATGTAATCACGTTTTAAATGAATTCCCAGGTTTGATCATTACTAAACTTTATGAGGTAAACTAACAAGTAAGCTGTAAATGGTAATTGATATTCCTTGTATTCCTATTCATTATATTTGTGTGGAATGTACAGCACATAATAGTTATTCAATCAGATATAATTGTTTGCTTATTATAACAGCTACTACAGTTATAGACCTATATAGCTGCTGTATTTTACAGTATATAAGACGGATCCCCTTATTCAAGAAAAACTATTTAATGTATTTAATTTGAGCCATCCTGCGCCTTTGGCCTTGGCCCCAAATTTTTTATACTAAATTCTGGTTTTAAAAAAACCAGTAAAATTAGAATGCACACTTTTATTTACAGGGAAATACAGGAGATTAAAAAAATGTTTTTAGGATTAAAATATTTTACATGATTAGATGCAAAAGTTGCTTAGCTAGCTAAAGCAAAGAATAATGATAATGCTAATAATATATATTAATTAAATAATATTTTTGTTGAAGAGTCAGGCTAGATAGAGGTTTCCTATAACCTACTAAAGGCTATTTGAAAAATTCATTAGCTATAGAAAATTGCAACTTTACATGTAGGACTCTGAATAATTTTCAGCTTTTGTTTGGACAAAAGTCACATCTTATATTTCGTAAAATACGGTATTCGAGGACAGATATGGAAATGTTACAGTTGTGGTCCCATTCCATGTAATGCCACCAGAATGCCTTAAGATTGCTATTCCGGTATCCTGTGAGAAGACTCGCAGAGGCTTACCTGTTCAGAACTTTCAATGTAGCTGTTATTCAGAGGTATTCGAACTCCAGGTATGCCTGAATGACGCAGATAAAGACATTACACACAGCTGACGAAGTTTGAGAATGTCCGCATCATTGGACTAAAGAAACCAGGATGCCGTTTCGCCAAACTACCCGCCATTAGTGCCGTTCTGATCTGATTCTGAAGTGTTGGAGGCATTAGATATATGATAGCACACATATACGGTGAGCAGACTAGGATACGCCAGACAGATCGTGACATAAGTACCTACAGCTGCAATGGCGTCTTTGCCATCATCCTGAAACAAGTATAAGAATCGCTACAGAATACTATCTCTTTCTATACAATTGACAGGAGCATAGAAGAGGAAAATTTACACTCAAGGCAACTGCCATTAGCAAACCAACGTAGTTGGCTTCGTTTGAAATGGGTCCATGATAGAGAAGACTGCTACGGACTGGCAGTATACAAGTGAAAACCCCCGGTTTTGTTTAGGAATGGATAATCACTGTATTAGAGAGTGTGGGGAATCATTAGTAAACACTTCTATTCCGCCTTTACTGTTACGCAGCACACTGCCCACTGCTAGCATGGTAGTTCGAAGAGCTAACTTCTATGATAATCAGTCATCCTTTGTACAATGATACAAGAGACATTTGTGTGACAACGATCAATACACTCAAATAATCCTATGCTTTTATGTGTTGCCTTTTATGGCAAGGTTGTCACACTTCCGACCTGTCCGGTCTCCAGATTTGTCGCCCATCGAACATTTGCAAGACCAAATGGAACACCAGGTTCGGCCATAAACGAGTATGAGGAATCTGAAGCGGCAGTTACAACATCTGTAAGCAAATCGGTATACCTCCATGCCCGATCGTATCGCTGCAAGCTCTACAAAATACTATGTTCCTTTAAATTGTAGAGGAGAAGGTGGTATTATGGAACCCCAATTACATTTTAGTGAATTGTAAACAAGGTATCATAACTACATCCACATTTTTCGTGCAAAAAGTACTGGTAACTAGTAAACTAAATGTTCCTAATTGGATTTTTTGCTAGTGTAATTATAAGTATGGTTTTTGAAGGCTTTTGTACAAAAAGTCCGAAAGTAGGCTTAGAGAAAATCGGGTGGTAATATGGAACCTTACTGTATATTTTCAAAAAAATGCTTTAATGTAGCCAAAAACAAATAGGAAAGGACAAAAAATGTTAAATAATTACAAAATTATTTACTCCAATGTATTTTATCGCAAAAATGCTTTTATAATAGAAAAATATGACCTCCATCAACAATATATATTCCAGCAGCTCTTTTTCGATATTTTCAGACTTTCTACCTAGTGTCTTTTTCCCAAATTGCTCCGGACGAATGTCTGATTGCAAAGAGAGAGTTCGGAGGAGTTGAGTTCCATATTACTGTAAAAGCACCAAAGGGGTCCGTATTTCACGCATCGCCATCTCGAATTAACTTATGTCTGTCGAGACCAAAATTTAAAAAACGTGAACATCACACAGATTAATATGTACCCCTAAGTCTCTGGAACGGAATACATGCACCAGTGAACCTACAACTTCACGATTTATATTTTAAAAATAATTAAATTCACTTAGCATTCAAAACTTGGGAATTTTGAAAAAAAACAAATTTGCTGATTAAATGTGAACAACTGTTTAACTGAAGTAAAACGGGTTTTCCCCTTGCTATGGATGTCTGTCTAGTTCAGTTCAGTCACATTCCGCTGCAGTTCGCCTTTATTATCAGTTCGAAATGGGGTGGTTCCATAATACCCGCAGTGTTCCATAATACCACCTTCTCCTCTATCCTTGTTGCTGAAGAAATTGCCCTTTGGTATGATATTGTAATCACTTATTACTATTGTCATTACGTTTTACACTAATAAAAGTTTATCATTTTCGATGCCTCCTTCTTGGGGCACATTTTTTTTGTCAATGAGTAAAAATAATAAAGACTAATTTATATCCTTTTATATTTACTGTATTTATGGGAGTAAAAAATTATAAGAAACATATGAATATACTCAATATATGTATTGAGTATAAAAATAGTAGATTAATTACAAATAATAATTCATTAGTCTTACAATTGATCTTAAAAATGTAGTGAGGATGAGTAATGTAATTTAATTAGAAATATTATATTATTAATATATTAATTAGTAGCTCACTACTACTACATTCATTACAATACTGTATTTTTACTTACCTACCTTCTGTATTTTTCGACAGTAGGAATTACTGTCGAAAAATACAGAAGGTGAAAATGATGAATATAATAAGAAATGATAATTTGATTTACAAATTTTATAAATTATTTGTAATTTAAATTTTTACATTTTTTTAGATTTAACATATTTTAATTTTATTGATAAAAATTACTAAAAAATCAAGTAAGAACATTTAAAATTTCCCGCAGAAGGCTTAAAATTTATATATCCTAACATAATTTTTTTAAATATGTATTTTATATAAAATTTAATCACTTGAATATATTATTATAGAAATTATTTAAATAAAAAAGTCATTGAATTAAATTGAAGTCATATTGAATCTACGAATGTTACTCATAAAAAATTGAAAATATATTTATTTTAATGCTATAAATTACTATAATTGATGTATATAGACCTATATTATTTATAAATTGATATTAAAATTTTTATACATTACTAATATATAATATATTTACTTTTAAATATTTCATTTAAAACATATATACCATATTTGTCAAGGTTAAAGTAATATTTATAATATATGATTCTATATTTAGATTTGAAAAGTAATATTCTTATTTTTTAAATAGGAAAATGTAAAATTTATGAAAATAATTCTTTTCTAAAATCGAATATTCTGTAAAAATACGTAAAATAAAATTAGAATATATCTTTTTATGAATAAAATATATAAAAAAATCATNTTTAATACAAATCAAAAATTAATTCGCAAAGTAAATAAGCATGTTAAATGTTGCTAGAAAATTTTACAAACATTTTTCTTGTAAAATTTATCTTAAAAAACTGCGTTATATTTAATAGAAACTTTAAAAATCTTTTGAAATCGAGAAATTTTAAGTTGTTGTGTAAGTAACGACCACACTTTCTGTAAAAATTGTCACTGACTTTTTATAAAAGTAGGGAAAAAACGACATTTCCAGAGATCACATGACAAAGCATAACATCACGTTTCATTCGATAGCAGATATTACATCGAGAGTCAATTGACCAATTATATTATACGATGTTCATTTCGAATGCATTAATTGGTTAATTTAATTTTAACGGTTGTTACATTTTATATTTAAATCATTAACGTCAAAAAATATATATTTTTTTGTGTTCTTTTGCATTTTTTGACTAAATTTTTAAAATATTGAAACAAGTTCGCATACTAAGAAAATTTAGTATTGCTTTCTGGTATGAAAGTAGTAATTATATTTTGAACAAAGGATATACAATACATTTGTAAATATATTGCATAGTCTCTACTTTAAGAATATATTATATATATATATGAAGTAGTTCAAAAGTCAGTTAACATTGTTTTTCTTTTTGCGAAAACGCCGAAGCGTCGCAGTTAATATGTGTATAGTCGACCCCCTATAACACTGTTGATAATTCCGTTTTATATGAATTCCATGTTGTACGAGTCAATTAGATTTTACAAATACGTAAGCCGTTCACAGCCCGGCACACGTATTTGTAAAATCTAATTGACTCGTACAACATGGAATTCATATAAAACGGAATTATCAACAGTGTTATAGGGGGTCGACTGTATTAAACAAGAAGAATTCTCATTTTCACGTTTTACAAAGTTTATATTCGAGTAAGACAATTTATTCTTTGCACTGATTAACTGACTTTGGGTCATATTGTATAAATTTAATCAATATAATATATACGTTTATATATGCTAGCAATTTTATATGCATTTTACCAAGATATATATGACACTTGATTTGTTTTTTGAAACCGTGTCCTGTTTTATATTTGTGGCGTAGTAAACGCTAGTATTGTGTTTTATTCCAAAGACACATGGCTAATTTTCCATCAAATTCCTTTATTAGTTGAGTCGAATATTAATATTCGACTCAACTAATAAGGGAATAATTTGTGGCGTAGTAAACACAATACTAGTGTTTACTACGCCACAAATATATGACACTATTTTAGATTAATTATTTCAATTTTCGCCCTATTACATTTGCATAAATTGACAAAAAAAAAACTCAATTAACATAATAATCAAAATTTAATTTTAAATATTTTTAAGTAAAAAATAAAATAAAATTACTTTAAAAACGTGCAGGCAATTTATTGTTTGAAAAGATTATGATAATTTAATTGATACAATTAAATTATCATAATCTTTTCACAAAATATTTAATTACTTTTAGTAGTAAATTACTGTGTAATTGTTGTTAATTTTTAATACTATATATTATTAATTAAAGGTAATTTTCATTTTATATAAATGTTTCTCTTATGTAACCTTTATAATCTCTTATATAATAACTCCTATTTAATATAATAAAATAAATCGATACGCACGTGAAAAATAAAAAAATAATAATAATAAAAAGAGATACATCAATAAGGCAACAGTTTTATTATTTTTTCTATCATCTAAAATGCCAGAGAAAATCTAGAATTATTTTTTTATTTTTCGCAGACAAAAATTATTTCTGATTCTACTCTATTTTTTAACAAATAATTTTTAAAATATTTCTATTTGTTTCTCATAAATATTATTACTATTTTATTATGCTGACCTCAACGACATTTTTATGTAAATAATTATAATATATAATATAGTATCAAAACAATGAAAAAAATAGCTGATGTTCGCCTCGCGGTCTCCAGATTGGGAAATGAACCAGACGATCACGGTTGCCAGATTGAGAAATAGAACAACTCGTATGTGACTCAGAGAATTAGGCAATTAGTAATCACGATTTACAGGTTACGAAATATAATATATCTATTCAAAAGCTGTCACATTACAAAAGTATGTGTAGAAAATGATGGAACATTTAATATAAAAAAAATTCCAAAAAGTGTTAATTTTACGATTAATAATTGTAGTCTTAATTAAATTTCTATTTTTATTACTTCAAACAAATAAATAATGATATTTAAAATTAACTATTCTGTAAAATTCAATACAGAATTCTTTCATAACTTGACATATAAACAGATATTATTTATTTTTGACTTGTAACTGATTATACTAGTATATATGAAATCTATATCAAAGTTTTCTATATATAATTATCATTGCCGTCTGAGTGATATTGTTCTAACATATCACCAAGGGAATCTAGGATCGATTACTATTAATCCGCCATTCCTTTATCTCTTCAGCTGTTCACTACAGTAGATCTGACAGCAGGTATAGGTACTGCATCATTCTCGACAGCAATATAACTCATAATGCAAGTTGCAAAACAACACGAAAACAACTTCTATAATATCCTTTGACCTTTCAAGATCGTCTTCATCTCCTAGTTGGCTTTCTACATTTGGGTATTTCGTACTAATATGGAATTAAACAGCCAGTAGATTGCGATCTACTGATTAGAAAACGTTAATACTTTTTCTTGTTTCCTAAACATATTAATATTGTATGGATATTAGAAAAGGGATGGAAGATAATTTAATCATTGAAAATTCCAGGCAAGTAATAGACGTTTCCATTTTTATCTCTTTTAGCTCTGTGGACACTAACAAGTCATTTTTTTTTTAAGCACCGTAGGTTCGACTAGGCCCACAATGGAGATGACTGGCAATGATGAGGGAAAGGATCTGATATATCCGAACAGACCAC